CTGTCAGATATCATCTATACTTGTCCCATCTATACCTCGTCCACACTGTGCCTCGACCCCACTGTGCTACCGTTTTTTTAATAATTCCCTTAGAGGTGTTATTAACGTAGACATGTTAGGTATAAATTGTCTTAAGTAATTGAAAGANGTATAAATTGTCTTAAGTAATTGAAAGCTCCTAACAATCGTTGTAATTCTCCTTTGTTATTTGGTGGTTTTAACGCTATTAATGCCTTTACCCTTTCTTCATCTGGTTTCATTCCATCTCTATTAAACTTCATTCCTATATATTTAATTTCACTTCTTTTATATTTTATTTTGTCACTATTAAATTTTATGTTTAGTTGCTTTGCTCTCTCTAGTTCTAATTTTATGGTCTCATCATGTGTCTTTTCATCCTCAGTTGCTACAAGTAGATCATCAAAGTACACAAACACATTTTTTATCCCTCCAAAACACTCTAAAGTCTTCTTTTGGAATACTTCAGGAGCACATGATAGTCCAAATGGTAACCTAGTAAATCTATAGTACCCAAATGGAGTACTAAACGTGCAAAGATAACTGGACTCTTCATCTAGTTTTATTTGCCAAAACCCAGCTTTGAGATCAAAAGAACTAAACCACTTCTTATTATTAAGGCTCATTCTCAATTCCTCCAGTGTTGGTATCAAAAAATGATCCCTCACAATAACCTTATTTAATTCTACTGGGTCAAGACAAATTCTCAGTTTTTTGTTTTGTTTTTCTACAATTACCACATTACTTGACCATCCTCTAGGTCTTTCCACTTCTACAATGACTCCTGACTCACACATTTCTAATAGAATTTTTCTTAATTCACCTTTAATAGATTCGGCCACTCTCCTAGGTGGATTTAACTTACTTTGACTGTTTTCATTAATTATTATCTTATATTCACCCGGGAAACAGCCTAATCCTTCAAAAACATCCTCATATCCACTAATTAATTGTTTTACACAATCATCACTTTCAATATTATTTATCTCTCTATTACTTACTAAATTCAATTTTACACAAGTGTCTAATCCTAGTATAGGAATACATTTATTTTGACATTTATCATTAACAATAATGAACTTGAGCTTAATGAATTTATCAATAATAAAACAATTTAATGTAACAGCTCCAACAAATTTGATAACATATCCTCCATATGCCTGTATTTTATAATTAATTTTTTCAATAATCTCATTTTTTTTTAATCCATTGAAAATAGTAAGAGGTATAATATTAATATCAGAACCTGTATCTAATTTAAACACAACATTACAATTATTAATTTTAATATTTTGAAACCACCCTTTCTTATTATTATTATTATCAGTTTTATATTGTTCACTTATATTTGAAACTACTAATGAATAAATATCAAATAAATTAGGCTCAGATTCATTATAAACATTAATATTATCACAAATTTCATTTCTATTTGTTACTTGATGCTGATTCTTTACTCGACATCCAATTTTGAAGTGATTCATTTTTCCACAATTAACACATTTTTTTCCATACGCCGGACAGCTCTTTGCTCCATGCCTGAACCCACATTTCTTACAGTTATATTGGTCTTCATTTGTTTGCTTCCAGTTCCTTGCATTATCTGATTTTTCTATGGTTATTTAATGCACATTACTTTCTTCACCGACATTNGCATTATCTGATTTTTCTATGGTTATTTTCTGCACATTACTTTCTTCACCGACATCGTTACAATTTGTTAACAACTGTTGCTGATATCTAGCAATTTCTGCAGATTTACAGTGATCAATGGTTTTGTCTAAACTTAGATCTGGTGCTCTTAATAGTCTTTCCTGCAGACTTTTATCTCTAACACCTAAGACTATTCTTATTCTCACCATGTTTTCCTCTAGAGGTCCAAAATCACACCTTTTAGCCAGGTTGCGAATATCTCTAAGAAATTTGTCAAACAATTCTCCCTCTTCTTGAGAGCGTCGAAAGAAGTTAAATTGCTCAATTATTATATTAGTTTTAGGCTCATAATAATTTTTAATTGCTTCAAATATCTTTCCTATTGAACCAGGATTATTTACACTTGTAATGTTAATAGATTCTAAAAATTCAAATGCTTCATCGCCAATGACACTAAGCAATATGGCAATTTTCAATTTTTCAGATTTTTCTTCAAGATCATTAGCTAACAAGTACAATTCAAATTTGGTTTTGAATATTTTTAAATACTTAACCACCATTGACGGGTCACTAATATCCAGTGGCGGTGGAGCCGGAACCACTCCTCCATTCGACTGCGCCATGTTGTATTTTATATAAAATATACACGAATAACATGTTGTAAGGTGGGTAACACTGTATATATCTCTGTGAGTTAACCTCTATGTAACATATAAAAATGTATTATTCATTGTGTGTATAATTAATAAATTTAGAAATAATAATATAATAAATTCGTGTATATTTTATATAAAATACAACATTAATAGTATATATTAATAAAAAAAAACAGAATTATATATGCTTTTGAACATAAAAAATTAAAAATGAGTTTTAATATTACTATTTTTATCTTATAGAAAGTATATTTTATACTATCAAGTCAAAATAATTCCAATGCAAAAGAAAAATTAGTGAAACATTGACAAAATTGTGAACGCCAGTTTCGGAGCATAGGTGCTATTGAAAGTAAATGAAAAAATAAAAACTTCTCTGAAACATTACAAATTTTAACATTTTCTGGTAGTCATATTATCAAACATTTATGTTTATATTCATGCTAATACATCCAATTCATTTATTTATTTAATATAAATATTAAAATAGATGAAGCTGAATCAGCAAAAGTTTGGTTAAGCACAATTAGGGTTTTTTCTAACTTTAATGAGATTAAAAAACTGGAAATAAGAATGGCTGAAATTCGAAGTTTAAAATAGCATATTCTGCAATTGAAATATTAAGAACTTAATTAATTTTAATGATTTACTTTAACTAAATGAACCAATCATAGAAAATTATTAAAAAGATATATACTCAACTGAGCGTATTATAAAATTTGTTATAATTGTAAAATTCCTTTGTTAAATTCACGTAGCTTAAAATAATTTTTTTTAGAAATTATTTATATAACAATATGTAACAAAAAAATTTGGAATATTATAGACTGGTAGTAACACACACAAATAGAGTTAAAAAATTAATAAATTACAAAGTATATTATTTAACTTTGTAGTCGAAACCTATTATCATATCAAACCATAAGAAAAACTTTTTTTGGTATTTTAAAATAAAATAAAATACAAAATCGACAATTTTAACACAAAAATAGCATTCTTTAATGTTTATTGGAGCATATTTAGCTTATTTATTTATTACACGATACTACAGCTAAATTAACAGCAGAACATAAGCAATGCACATTAACAAATAATGAGGTAAACTGAAAATTGTTTTTTGTATCTTTGTGCACTAATTAATTTATAATAACTTTACTGATGAATGTAATTATTATACATTGTATTTCTGATTCGTGTTCATTTTGTTCGAATGACAAATTCACTATTGTATTATTTTCAAATTTACAAGTTTAAATATTTATTTATTTAGCGAATACTTGGAATATTATTTTTGCCTAATCTTTTTAAAATATTCAATATATTTTAATCTCAAATACTCTACTTAAATATTATTCTATAATAAAACCGTTGTGATTTAGCCTCATTTCCTTAACTAATTTAAATTTAAGAATTCATAGAGTTACTATAGATTCATTTATATTTAAAATTGACACTTAAAACTATTTTATTAATAATTCTAATTGTACATGTTCCTAATCACATATCAATCTAAACAATACCATTAAAATTAAATTTCATAAAATTTACAATTAAATGATGGTAATTTAAAATATTTGTATTGAACCTAAAAAAAGTTCTGGTATTAAATTCAACTTTTTATAGTTAAATTAATTTTCATGAAAATCAACTTTAAAAAAATTTAATAATTCATAGAAATACTATAGATTAATTTATATTTTAAATTGACACTTAAAATTGGAAATATATCTTGCTACCCGAACTTTTGCTCTTATAAACTGCCAAAGTAGATATTTGTGCAAAAAATAACAGTATTGACTATGTCTCTTTATAGGTATAACACATATAAAATATCTGTGAAAAATCTTGATTAAACAACATCAAACATAGCCAAGTTAAAATGTAATAAATTTTAATTACAAGATACACAGAAGAGAGATGAATAAAATACAAATATTTCATTAAAATAATAAAAAACTCTTAAAAGCAAAAGTAGTGTTTAAATTAATTTATAATCTCTATTTTTTATTAACCTTAAGTTTTAGGTAAATAATTCAATGACAGTACTGAAAAAGAATCTAGAGTATGAACGTGAAAAGAACAATGAGTTACAACATGAAATAGAAGATAAAGAAGTAGAAATTAATCATCTAGAAAAATATCGAGAAGAAAAAATAGTTGAACTGTCGTAAGTTAGAATTGTATTTAACTTAGGAATATCAAAAGTCTTTCTAAAATTAAAAAAAAAATAGTAAACATTTTTTTAAATTTTGAGGTTAAAAATATTTAGTTTAATATTAAAGAATTTAAGACAAATTTATTAAATTTTTTGATTATCAAAAATATGTATGAAATTATCATGTCCCTCACTTATTTTAGTCGAGTTAGTTTCTAATGTATGATTTATCAGAAGAAATTGAACAATTAAGTTTAAATGAAAATCTAAATTTAAATATAATATTATTTTATGAATAATTTACATTATAATTAACAAACTTTTTTTTATTACATAAATCTCTGGACATAAGAAAAAAAGTACTAGATCAAACAAATCTTTATGCAGATTTAGAAAGTAAAATAAATACATTTGTATATACTATTGAAAAAAAAAATAAAGAGGAAAATCGCATTATTAAGGTATGTTATACTAGTTAATAAAACTTATATATACACATTCAAAAAATATTTTTTTATTATTTATCACTAATAAGAAAAAATACATAACTTATTTTTGTTTTTATTTTTTCAAAACTTTGAAATAGCATTATTTTAGCTTTTTTCTTACAAAAAAATTTGTTAGTTTGATAATGTTTATAGAATAAGTACTTATTGAGTTACATAGTTTTTAATACATAATATGAGTATGTATCACGGGAGGACTACTCATTCATCAGTAAACACCAACCTTCACTACATACTCACTATATGTGTTAAAATAATTGTAATTCAATGAATATTTGTCTTAAAATTGTTATTGACCAATCAAAAAATTATTTTATTATTTTAGAAATTGAATCAACAATTAAGAGATGTTATAAATAAATTTAAAATTTTGGAACAAGAATTAAGTGAAACTATTGATTTAACTGAAAAATTAGGATAAGCCAGCAGAAAAAACTTAAGGCAGCCTGTCTTTTCTGTATTTAAAATTATTTTATAATTCTAAAATTTGTATAATTCATTTTTAACATTTTAATAAAAGTATGTTTTTATAAAATTTTTCATTTTTGTTCTTTTTAAATAAAGTTTATTTAAAAGGCTTTTAAGTTGACCATGGCTGAACAATTTATTTTTGGATTAATAGTGCTAAAATATGTAGTCATAAAAATTTTCATTCAAACTTAATTCTTATTTTTAACAAAATTCTTTAACACTTTTTTTTTACGTTTTCATTGATTTACACTGTAGACAAAAATATAAATTGTTTATAGTACTAAAAAACTTTTTAATACATAATATCAGTATGTAGCACGGGAAGACTACCCATTCATTAGTAAACGCCTACCTTCACTACATATAGGGATGACAAAAATTGACACAATATCAATATTTTGTTTATAGTTTATCTATAATGATTTATAGAGCTCTGTTTGATATCGAGACATCGATATATTGAACAAAAATATCGATATTTAAAGGAAAACTATTTTATTCTGTATCACTACACCATTATAACAAGTTGGATAGAAAACTTCAAAATCATTTTTTTTTAATGAACACATTTACCTTCATATTTTTTAATAATAGTAAAAAATTGTTTACCTAATTAAAATCGTAGTTCCAATGTGCATTTTTTACAGGATTTTTAAGTCTGGTTATCACTCATTTTTATTTGAAATTGATATTCATTATTAAATTAACAATAATAATAAGTTTTTACATCATTCTATTTCCCGAATTTAACATGTTACAAAGGGTGGTGGCTCTCTTTCACATTGAGTCAAAAATGATTCTTAGTCGAGCCAATGATGAATAGGATGGGTATTATGGCCGGCTTGCACTAGAGACCGGACATCGCCAATGAGAAAATCACAAGAAATATCTTGTTGGCACCCCGGTGAACGAAACTGGGATACCAAGCGCCAAAGTATGTTTCTACTCACATATTGGCCAAGCTGACCCTTTACTCTTAAATTAAAGAAAATTGAACTTAAATTTTTTTATACAACTTCATAACTTAAATTTATTTAATCTATCATTGGTGCCTTATATGACTTGTACTTTATAATTTAATTTCAAATAATTAAAATAGAATTATTTAAATTAAAAAAAAATTAATATGTAAACAAAAATAAGTAGACACATTATTTGAAAAAATAAATCAAAATAAAAGATATTTAATACTTTTTATAAAATAAAAATATATATATAAAATTTTTTTATAAAATTATAAGACTTTTGAAAACCAATCTGCTTCTCTCAAAGATCTCATGAAGACAAGCTTAGATAAATGTTTTCCTGTCAATCTGTTTCTTGCTTTAAATATTGTTTAACCAGTTTTGGAAAATAAGCGTTCTGATGGAACAGATGTTGCGACAATACTTAATTTTTGACTAGCAATGTAATATAAGTTTGAGTATAAGGACTTCATGTTTTCTCAAACTTCAAGGGGTTTATTGTCTATTTTTTCTACAGGCTTTCCCAAATAATCATACAACTAAATATATTAACATAAAATGTAAATAAAAATAAGATTATTAAGATATTAAATTGAATAAACCTCTTGATATATTGGAGTTGTTTTATTCTGAACCTGAATGGCGATACTGAAGTATGGTATGACCAAAGATTAAATGAATCTAACTTTTTATCTACGAGTTCATTTGATGGAGTAGGTTCAAAACAATGTACACATTCAGAGTTTCTTTTTGTATCGACATATTATTACAACTTCGATAGCATTTTGGCAGCAGACAGGGTCTTTGAAATGAAGATTCTTGAATCTATAAGAAAAATTTAAATAAAATTAACATCTTCAATTTTATTAAAACCTAATTTTGACCTGGGGTCTAGTAATGTAGCTAGAGGAAAGTCACTGAATATTTCTAGATTCTTAAAACGCTTGTCAAGTTCAAATAATATATTTTGTTTTAATTCAATACCAATTAAAGATGTAGTTTGACAATTTTTCACCGCACTATTGATACAATTAATCAATGGTAAAATTGTACTAATTGTATATTCTTCACCAGATTTTTTTTTGTCAAGTCTTCAATTGGTTGCATCAAATTTTTAACTTCTTTGGCAATCAATATTTCTCTAGTTGTTATTAAATCAGGTGCATTAGGCCTTTTTAATAAAATAGAAGAGACAACACGATACAAATGTAAAAATATATTTATCAAATAATATAGACTATTCCAACGAGTCTTGATATTAATTTTAAAACTTATTCTTCTGGTAAACCTGAAAAACAATATTTTAAAACATAATAAACATTACATATATTTTTTACTATAATTTTTTTTTTTTGATACTCCTTAATTCATCATGAGCATTAACACTATTTTTTTTTATAAATTTTACAACATTTCTAGTTTTGTCAATCAACTTGTGATGGTGTCACGTTACCATTATTGTGAGAATTATTTAAATAAAATACAGACAGCACATCCGCTGCCTGAGACTGATGAATTAACAAATAACATTTATTGCCAATTTGGCAATAGTTCTAATTATTATAAAACACCAAAAGACCTGATTATTATTATTACACGATACTACAGCTAAATTAACAGCAGAACATAAGCAATACATATTAACAAATGATGAGGTATACTGAAAATTGTTTTTTGTATGTTCGTGCGCTAATTAATTTATAATAACTTTACTAATGAATGTAATTATTATACATTGTATTTCTGATTCGTGTACATTTTGTTCGAATGACATATTCACTATTGTATAATAAAAACTCTTAAAAGCAAAAGTAGTGTTTATTAAATGTTAGAACATTTGCTCGCGATTAAGATCATTGTAAATAATTTTACAATGCATTGTTTTAAAGTAATAAGTATAATTATTACTTAAAAATTATATCACAAAAACACAACAATGCACATGCGCTTGCTATGACAAAAAACGTAGACTATAATCCAACATACTGCTTATTCTTATTCATGCGATAAAAAATTTTCAATGAGGCTGAATGGTTAATATTAATGAGTGAATGAATTAATTTTGTTTTATTCATTTTGTATTTCTATGGCTTTTTAATATTTTAAATTTATTAAAAAAAAACTAATATTATTTTACATTAAGTTATTTCACATAATTTTGTTTGATTATTTTCTCTAAATATATATTACATGTATTTATAAACTATATATTTTTAGGAGTTTAATTTGAAAGAAATGGAAAAACATTTAGGAGATAGATCAGAGAAGGAACGAAAAACCATTAGAAACAGAAGATTTAACTCATGTAATATAACTTTTATTTTTTTTTTTAATTATTAATTTTCTTTTATATTACATTGAAATTTTTTTAGACTAAGATACTTCTTGAAGCTGAAGAAAGATATAAAGAGATTGATATAATTAGATCAGCAAATATTAATAGATTGCAATCAATTTCCAAAAATCATTACGTACCTATATCACAAACAAAAAAAATGAGACAGTAAAAACTTCGACATTATCGATAGTTTGATTATGCATCAAATGTTGTATTATATTTTGATTGTATTATTAGTAATAGGGCGCATCGATCGTATATGTTGCAACGTCAGGGTCACGTGGCTACAGAAACACTACATTATTAAATTAATTATATTATTATTAATAATATTGTAAAATTTAAATTTAAATGTTCTATTCAATTAGCATTTATTTGCTACTATGGTTATTGTACAATTTCTTAAAAAATCTTTTATATTCTTATTTTTATTCTATTAATTTATTTAATGAAATGAATAACTTTAGCTTTTAAACATAAGCAGTGAATTATTTTGAATGAATTTTCTGAATTATTGCCAAGTATTAGTAAAAATAAAATTATATTGTCTCGCATAACATGTTATAAGTAACATAATGTATTTTTCAAAAAGTTATAGCATTTTTAAGTTGAAAATTTAAAATCGAAAATCGAAAATTTTAACACAAAAATAGTGTTTTTTTAACTACGGCAGCCGTTTAAATGTAGAAAAAAAAGTGTCGGGACAAATTTTTTTTTTTCATTTTGTAGTACATAAAATAAGCTTTAATTTGATATATGTTTAAAGGACGCAGTATTTCCGGAACATTTTCAAAAATTCAGTTGAAAAAGTTCTATTTTTTATACAATGTTTCAAAGTTTGAACCCCCCCTATATAAGGGGAAATTGTCTAATTTTAATAAAAAGTATGTCAAATGGAAGATGTACTTATAATGTATTTAGAAAAAAAAAAATTGTGCTGATACATGCATTTTTCGAAAAGTTATAGCATTTTTAAGTTGAAAATTAAAAATTGAAAATCGAAAATTTTAACACAAAAATAGTGTTTTTTTAACTACGGCAACCGTTTACATGCAGAAGATAAAGTGTCGGGACAAATTTTTTTTTTTCATTTTATAGTACATAAAATAAGCTTTAATTTGATATATGTTTAAAGGACGCAGTATTTCCGGAACATTTTCAAAAATTAAGTTGAAAAAGTTAGTTTTTGTAAAAAAGTTGCAATTTTAAATCCCCCCCCATGAGCAGGTTAAGTGTTAAATTTTCAAAAAAATTATATCAAATGAAAGGAAAATATCTAAGGTTTTAGTTTAAAAAAAAATTATGTTGATTTGTTGATTTTTCAAAAAGTTATGGAAGTTTTAAGAAAAAAAAGTGAAAAAATGACAAAATTTACCGATTTTTAAATTTGTAATTTTTTTGGATATTTCCTCTATTTTCGGGGAACGAGGGAATTTTTTAAAATTTTTAAGGGTAATGTCTTCAACTAGATACGATTTGTGATCTTTTGACGTATTGTT